ATCATCAGGTACCTGTGTGTCATTTTGTACCTGATGATGACAAAACCTTGTCGAAACGTTGTACATTTGCTGTTATGTTAAACTTATATTAAAAGTTTTTCTTCATTACCCATTTAAGCCGTCTCCAGCCATTATTAAGTCACCTATGTCAGAATCCACATGACGTCACGCATATAAGCAGTAAATGATAAACACGTCATTATCTGGTCAACCAATGAAAAAAGTGAAGTTGTGTTCACTGACCACACACACGTTGCCTTTAATTACTCCTCCCCCCCCCAATATCTGTTTCCTTGTTGGTGAGATAATAATCTAACCGCCTATAAGTCTATAGTTGTAGGCCTACAACAAGGACCGTTGTATTTATATAATCTAGAAGCTAGATGATTGCAAGGCGCACCCAGTTAGGGAGGCAACAATTTTAAATGATTACGTCATACCGACGTCATGATTTTCTTGCTGGTCTATAATAAAAGACTAACAAAAAAAATTAATAATAATTGTTCATCTTCTTTAGTCCGAGGCCTAAGTTAGGGCGCTCAACTCCCAATCTGCGGGTCGCAGGTTCAAATCCCGTCACCGAACATGCTCGCCCATTCAGTCTTGGGGACGTTAAAACGTCATGGTCAATACCACTATTCGTTGGCACAAAAGTAGCCCAAGAGTTGTTGGTGGGTGGTGTTGACTAGCTGCCTTCACTATAGTCCATCACCCCTAAATTAGGGACGACTAGCGCAGATAACCCTCGTGTAGCTTTGCGCAAAATTCAAACCAAACCAATCTTAAGTCCGATATTACTAACCAAAATAATTAATTCTTTATTTTCATAATAATGTTATTTCTAGATGAAAGTAATTAATTCAAGAGTTTGTATTAATAATTATTGGATCAAAGTTTCTGTTTGTTGTTGCATTTTTGATCCAATAATTGTAGATAGTCTATTGTTGAACTTTACGCTAAAACATGCAACAACAAACAGAAACTTTGATCCAATAATTGTAGATATTATATTGTTGAGCTTTACGCTAAAACATGCAACAACAAACAGAAACTTTGATCCAATAATTGTAGATATTCTATTGTTGAGTATTACGCTAAAACATGCAACAACAAACAGAAACTTTGATCCAATAATTGTAGATATTCTATTGTTGAGTATTACGCTAAAACATGCAACAACAAACAGAAACTTTGATCCAATAATTGTAGATATTCTATTGTTGAGCTTTACTCTAAAACATGCAACAACAAACAGAAACTTTGATCCAATAATTGTAGATATTCTATTGTTGAGCTTTACTCTAAAATTTTCTGTTTGTTGTTGCATGTTTTAGCGTAAGCTCAACAACAGAATATCTACAATTATTGGATCAAAGTTTCTGTTTGTTGTTGCATGTTTTAGAGTAAAGCTCAACAATAGAATATCTACAATTATTGGATCAAAGTTTCTGTTTATTGTTGCATGTTTTAGCCTAATAACCATATAACATAGGAATAGGACTGGATTTCATGAATTAATAAGAGCTACAGAGATTAAGACTTCTGACATTGTTGAATTAATTAAATCTTCCGAGACATCACGATTACGACTCAGAAGTGAAGTTAATGAGCGCTACGAATTAAATTAAATATGTTCTGTAGATATTACGTATTCTGACAGGATGTTATTAAGTAAACGCTCCGAAAATCATTAAGAAATTTCTTTTTTTAAGATTTATTTCCAGCAGCTAATTGAAAATTGATTACACTGGTTAATGCTTGTTTATGAAATACAGTCTGTCTATAAAAAGGTTTGATCTATCTTAAAGACCTCAAGTTATTGGATGGTATTCATTATATTAACGACTAAATTAAACGTACTGAAATGTCAGAGTGATTCTATATAATTCAGTTTTGTTTGTCCTTGTGGGTGCAGTACCTCCAATATTAATGGGTGCTCTTACAGAGCATGTCTTTCGAGCTGTAGTTAATAAAAAACACGTGTATTGATCAAGACTTTTCCCGATGTCCCACCCTATACAAAACAATGAACCTCGTTTCTTTTTTTACTTTTGAAGCTCTACTCTGAACAGAAAACCTGTTATTAAGGGCATTTTGAATGGTAAAAACACAATTTATATTACCAGAAACTAAAGAACAAATTAACAGTAATATACATACTCTTCAAAGTATTTGGATCTCGTCAGTTGTATATTATTTGAATCAATTCTCTTTATCAAACACTCCACGTAGTAGCTCACTTCATCCATGTGATATCTATCTTACCATCACAATTAAACTGTTCTCCATTTGGTAGGCCTAACAAGTTCTTTGAGAAACAGGTTGCAATTGCGTGACGGGTTCAATATTTTCCTCCCCACAAATGGCACAAGAGAAGAATTACTGCATGTCTACTATAATAAAACAAGCTCAGAACGAAGAGCTCTAAACAGACAGATAAAGCAAAATATGTCTACTTTCAAACACACCACTTCTGTGAACTGTAAGATACTGTTGAGTTGGCAACGTGCCAAGAACGTAGACTGCCGTACTCGAGATCAATAAGTGGTTACTCACCTCATGATGATGGCGCTGAGCATGAAGAAGGAAGGACTGGGAGATGGTGATATTAGACTCTCCCACCCCCTTCGTTCCGCTTGTTTCCTGCTCTCAGTACTCCTTCAATACCACAATCTACATACGATCTGATTTTTTTTTCCTGTTCAGACTTATTGATTCTGACGAAATTAGTAATATTTGCTATTTGTTATGGTATCCCCCTCCGCCCACAGGATTTGACAACTGTTCAGTCCAGAAGCTAATTAGTATTGAAATAACTCGGGTAATTTTTTTAAGTAAATCTCCATAGCTAGATTAGCAATTAAAGAAAACATTGTACTCTATATCAAGATAATAAATAATGAAGACGTGCTTAAAATACACAGTTTGTACGTTTACGGTCTACGAGTAATTGCGGAGAGAACCCTACACGTTTCACAACAAAAGAAAGCAAGTCAAACATATTTTTAATTTTGATATTATTTATAAACAAATAACGAGCCTGGTATTTCTTGAGTAAACAAATGTAGATTTTGTCGACTTTGATAACGGTCTTTTTAGTCCTTTTTACACTAGATTTTGTCGACTTTGATAACGGTCTTTTTAGTCCTTCTTACACTGGATTTTGTTGGCTTTGATAACGGTCTTTTTAGTCCTTCTTACACTGGATTTTGTTGGCTTTGATAACGGTCTTTTTAGTCCTTCTTACACTGGATTTTGTTGGCTTTGATAACGGTCTTTTTAGTCCTTCTTACACTGGATTTTGTTGGCTTTGATAACGGTCTTTTTAGTCCTTCTTACACTGGATTTTGTTGGCTTTGATAACGGTCTTTTTAGTCCTTCTTACACTAGATTTTGTCGACTTTAGAAACGGTCTTTTTAGTCCTTCTTACACTAGATTTTGTCGACTTTGATAACGGTCTTTTTAGTCCTTCTTACATTAGATTTTGTCGACTTTGATAACGGTCTTTTTAGTCCTTCTTACATTAGATTTTGTCGACTTTGATAACGGTCTTTTTAGTCCTTCTTACATTAGATTTTGTCGACTTTGATAACGGTCTTTTTAGTCCTTCTTACATTAGATTTTGTCGACTTTG